TTATATAATAACATTTGACGGTAAAACTCTTCCAGAATCAATCTCTATCTATAAAAATGAGTGTTCAATCGAAAAATATGTTAGTCCTGTTGTCTTATGTATGAATTGTTGCAGGTTTGGTCATTGGAAAAACCAATGCAAAAGCAAGGGTAGATGTAGTTTCTGCGCTGGAGATCATCCAGTATTTCATTGTGAACTGAAAGAACAGTTTTATAAGAAGAAACCATGCCCGACAGACCACTTAAATCATGAAGGTAAATGCAGCCTGGGTAATTGCGAAATATCTCCAAAGCCAACTTGCATCCACTGTAAAGGCTCTCATCAGGCCACTGATAGATCATGTCCGGAAATGGACAGACAGAAGAAAATCAATGAGGCTATGGCATGGTACAACCTATCCTTTTTTGAAGCGGCCAAACTCTTTCCAAGAGGCCCCAAATCAAGTGAGTTTAATCGCTCTAATGAAAATTTCCCTCCTATTCATAACACGGTTGCCCCCGTCTCTCAGCCTTCCCCTAGATCTGCTTCTAAAACTTATTCTGTCATAGCAAAAAAGCGTAAGTCCCTCCAAATAGAATCAGGGTATGATAGGGACGCCCACAGGGATTGTCTCGTGCCGCCGTTGACTAGGCAGAAGTTGAATCACACTAGCAAAAGTCAATCTTCTCCCTCATATTTAAATGACTTATCGTCAGAGTCCGAGATGGACACTGCTTCTCCAGGGGTTTCTTCCTCTGGTGAATTTTGGTATCGGTTTGAAAATTTAAAGAAAAAAGTTTTGTCCAATATACCCAGTAAAAGTGCTTACCATGAAATTGAGAGTCTTTTTGACTCCCTGCCTCCTCCCGGAGGATGCAGGTTTTAATTTATTAATGTTCCCAGATCGACAGTCAAATCTTTCTGTTAAAATTAGTAATTTCTCAATTATTCACTGGAACACTTGCGGTATTAGAAGTAATCGTGATAGTATTATTAGACTTATTCGTGACTTTGGTCCGGATATAGTCATGATTAATGAATCTTTTTTACTCCCTCATATCAAGTTTTCCTTGTCTGGTTTCTCCTTCGTCAGGGACGATCGTATGGATGGGTATGGAGGGATTATTGTTTTTTTAAGCTCCAACATCGGGTATAATGTTTTAGATGTGTCAGATATCCCCAGGCCGGATAGATGTCAGGTTATAGTGTTGGAGATGGACAGCCTTTTTCTAGTTTCGACGTATAATCCTCCTGACCTGAGAAAATTTCTTAGGGAAAAGAAAAGGGCGGGATTTAAAAATTTTTGCCAGAGTTTATCTCCCAATGAGAGTGCTAGGTATGTATGGAAATGTGTGAAAAGATTTTCAAAGGCTATTAACCGGGCTAATTGTCACCTCCCACTTAACTTTTCAGTACCGGCGGAATTTTTGGACTCCTTAGTGGGTCATGCCGATGGTGTCGTTGAGGAGACAAGTTTAGAGGGGGATAACAACACTGCAGTTTCTCCCTTGTTTACTCTTGATGAGTTTATCGCTGTAGTTAGAAGTCGTAAAAACACATGCCCCGGCTTGGATAGAGTTTCTTTTGAGTTAATAAAGCATCTACCAATAGAGGGAGCCGTGTTCTTAGTGAATTTTTACAACAAATTATTGAGAAATGAGTGCAGTATACCTGATAGTTGGAAGACGCAGCTGGTTGTTCCAATATTAAAGCCGTTTAGGGATCCTAATCTTCTTAGTTCTTATAGGCCGATTAATTTGTCATCTACATTCGGTAAAGTGCTGGAGTCAATATTAAAGTGCCGAGTAGAGTGGTTTCTTAAACATCACAGATTGCTATCAGAATCTCAAACCGGCTTTAGGCGCGGTAAGTCCGCTATGGATAATGTTTCCATCATAACAAGTCATATTTTGTGTGCTCAGAGCAAAAGTGTTCCTACTGTTATGGTTGCATTGGATATTGTGGGTGCTTATGATAATGTTAACATCCCCATGCTAATAAAAGAGATGGATAAGCAGGTTATACCTAGGGATGCTATAGGGTTAATCAATCGACTTCTCCTCAACAGGAACTTATTTGTTAAGGATGCTGTTGGGCACATTTTGGTCGGACCTAGATCAACCAGTAAGGGGGTCCCTCAGGGATCTCCCTTAGCGCCTCTTTTATTCAATATATACGTAAATTCAATTAGGTTAGTAATTCCTCAAAGGGTTTCTATTTTCCAGTATGCGGATGATATTGTTCTTCTATGTAGCGATGTCAATGTCCTCTTTGCTATAGGCTTGATGAATAAAGCCTTGGTGGCAGTGGCTGATTGGATGCATAGGTTTAACTTGCAGCTTAGTCCGCAAAAGTCATCTGCTATTTTATTCTCTAGATCTGCTTTGGTTGGACTTCCCGACTTGGTAATTAATAGTGTAAATATTCCCTGGAAAAATGAAATTAGGTACCTGGGAGTTACATTTGATGCTAAGCTTACGTGGGTTCCACAGGTTGGCAGAATGATTCACAAGGCAGCTAGTGGAATTAATATTATGAGATTTCTATCCAGGACATGATGGGGAGCCCATCCGTCTCTCTTCTGATATTTTATAAAGCTTTTGTGCGCTCCCATCTTGATTATGGTTCTATGGTACTGGGGTGCTGTGGGAAAAAAAACCCTGTCTGGTCTGGATAGGATTCAATATCAGGCTTTAAGAGTGACATTGGGTATGATGAAATCAACTCCAATTAATATTTTATTGGGAGAGGCTTGTGAAACAAGTTTGGAGGTGAGGAGGATTATGTTGGCTTCTAAGTTTTTGGTCAAGTCCCTTAGAATCAGAAATAATCCTAGTTTCTTAGCTACCCAACGGTTATATATTGCCTATCAAGAAAATCATAACTTTTTTAGAAGGAAGGCGAATTTACCCTTAGTTGAGGCATTTGACTACACCGCCACATATCATAATATTATCGATAGTGGAGACGTTCTAGCGTGTTTTAATAAGGACCTGGCCTCTCAGCTTACGCCTATTAATTTTGTTGATTCCAAAATTGAGAAAGGGGTGGGTCTAAATGAAACTGAGTTTCGGGAATTTTGTTCTAAAATGTGGACCGAGGAAGAGACATTTATATTTACCGATGCCTCTAAGGGACCAGATGATAGAGTTGGCTTTGGAGTATTTATTCCGTCTCTCAATGTTAGGGTCGGGCATGGGTTGAATAACGCGTTTTGTATATGCTCTGCAGAAATGGTAGCTATTAGTTACGCCCTAGATCTTATATTAGATTATAATATTAAACAGGCAGTAATTGTCTCCGATTCCAAAAGTGCCCTGCAGAGCTTCGGATGCAGTGCGGTTGAAGCTTCCAACAGCTACATTCTACTAGATATTAAAGCAAAGATTGATATTTTGAAGCACAGACTTGGGGGGAAAATATCGTTATGCTGGATTCCAAGCCATTCGGGGATAAGACATAATGAAACGGTGGATAGAATAGCCTCAGAAGCTAGACTTTTAGACCCGCTGAATTTAAGGCCCCCTTTTAGTGAATTTATCCCGATAATTAGAGCAAAGATGTGGCACATCTGGGCCATCAAGTGGAGAGAGTGGGGCCGTTCAAAGGGCAGACTTTATAGTGCAGTTTATAAGACACCTCCAACAGTTCCATGGTTCCACAAACTGCAGCTGTCTAGAAAGGAGATTACAACAGTGTGCAGAATGAGGAGTAATCATTGTAGTTCCCCAGCACATCTTTACAAGATAAACGTCAAAATATCTAACCTGTGTGCTTGTGGAGGGGTGGGAGATATTGAACATATTTTGTTTGATTGTGCTCTGCATCGGAATAACTCCCAAATTTTGTATGAGTCCCTCATTGATGCCAGCTTACCCGCTCCTATGAGTGCCTTTTCTGCACTTTTTCACCCTGGATGTATGGATTCTGTTGCACGACTTGTGGTTAGATTCCTTGATGCATGTGGTATCTGCTTATAACCGCTTTTGGATTTGCTAGCTCATAGTCTATGGGTTGGTTTTAATCATCATGTATATTAGTTAGAATTTCAAAAGAAGAACTCCTTCGCTGGAGAAGATCCGAAAACTCTCGACATTTAGAACTTCTGAGATTAGTCTCTTTCGCTGAAGAAGATCCGAAAACCCTCGACATTTGGAACTTTAAAGTTTAGTCTCCTTCGCTGGAGAAGATCTGACAATCCTCGACATTTGGAACTTCAAAAATCAGTCTTCTTCGCCAGAGAAGATACGAAAATCCTCGACATTTAGAACCTCAAAATTCTGTCTCCTTCCTGGAGAAGATCCGAGAATCCTCGACGGAAGTCGGCAATGGGCGAATGATCCTGGTAGTCGTGCCCAACAGCTATCTGTGAAACGCAACATTGAATTGAATTGAATTGAAATCGATCCAGTACAGCAGGATGATGAAGCTACTGCTAGAGATCTTTTCATACAAAATTATTTTCTCACTTTACATTAAAAACTGTTCTGTTTAGGGTTTATATATAAAAATTAAATGCTTTTTTAATCAAGCAAAAAATAGGTTTTTATTTATTATGAAACTTTTAACATATTAAATAATGAATAACATCTCATAATCATTGTAATAAACAAACCTAAACATAAACTAATAATATTCAAAATACTAAATAAACACATTAAAGGAACACACTTTGTAGAGGAAATATTTTTCGGAACTTACAATTTAAAATTAAGTTGACTTTTTAAGAGCAGATAATTTTAAGAACTTCAGTTTTAAGTGATGATTTTCCCCTATTTTAAAATGTAAAAAATCTGCCGAATTTCTATTTTCACCTTGTGTTCTTCCTGACTTTCTTTAATTTTGTTTTTGATACTAACATTTCATGCTCCAAAAAAGAATATTTTTTTGTGCAGCTAATTCGAATTTTTCTCCTGAGGACACCGTTTTTTTTTTCTTTTATGATTGGGCGCCTATTAACAGATCCAACTAAAAAAACTATTCTTGACCAATGTTAAAAAAATATTTTGTAATGTCAAAGTTGTGATTCTAACCCTAATGTTTTTGTTTGAAATTAAGGACCCAAAATATAGGCTCAAAACTTCATCCACACAGAATTATATACCACTGTAGTGTTAGTTTAACCTAGAATGAGCGCTAAAAAGAAGGTGGAGAAATGGAAAAAATAAAAAAGTATGCTCAATATTGTGTTTTTAGAATGAAGCAAGTTCTACAGAATCTTCGTCAGCTTCAACTTCTGGTACATCTTCGTCGAGTTCGTCTAGCGGATCAGATTCAAGCTCTTCGAGCGACAGTGATAGCTCCAGCTCACAGGAATCCACCAAAAATCAGTTTGGCCATGAGTTACCAAAAAAATCTGCTCCAGTACAGAAATCCCAACGTACAAGTATTGATGGTTCAAAAACTATTGCTGGAAGCAAGGCAGACACCAAATCTGTTGCTAAGGCTAAAGTTTCTCAGCAAAAACCTACAGGCAAAAGCCAAAAAATTGCGGCCAATACCACCGATGAAGAAGATGAAAAACATGCTAGGAAACAGGTGAGGTTAGGTTTATTTGTACGAAGAACTTCGTTAAAAGGTTACAGAAATTAAATAGTTTACTTATATCCAGGTTCAACGAAAAGCCAATGTAAAGCCAAAAAGCAGTGCTACTGTGACAACAAAATTAGGAAACTATTCAAGTCAAAAGGGTAGTGCAGCATCAAGGCATGCTCCCACAGTCTCTCCAGTAGTAAGGGCAGCAGCGAAAAATGTGTCCAAACCCAAACCTTCTCAGAGGAATACTTCAAAAGTTATCGATCCTAAGAAAAAAAGCATTTTCTCGCCGGAAAATAGTTCAGATTCTGATTCGCCCAAATCTGCATCAAAATCCCCGGTTAAAGCTAGTCAGGCAAAATCCAAACTTGAGCCAAGACCTAAAGCTGCCGCTAAGCCTATTGAAAAACCCAAAATTGAAAAAAAACTTCAGGAGAAGATTCCAATTAAGACAAAAGCTGTCATTGAAACCTCGCCTAGCTCAGTGTCATCAGCTTCGACAAGCAGTTCCGATAGCGATTCAAGTGCCGAATCTTTGGGAAAGGAACGAAAAGTCTTGAAAAAACCAATTAAGAAGCCCAGTGTTGTTCCTAAGGAAAACACTGTTAATTCAGATTCAGAGGTCGAGGCTATTGTAAAATCCAAGCAAGTAAGTGTATTTTTTTAATATGCAATTTTATTTTTGATTCATGAATATTTTGGCAATGACTGTCCCACTAAGAATGAGATGGAGATTATTAGCGGTATGGCCAGCGAAAAAAAAGTTTGTCACCAATTACAGGTGAATTACAAGCGCAGAGTTATTATAAATAATGGTATTTAGTTTTTATAAACTGCTTTTATTACTCATTTAATATTTACTTTTGTTTTTTTTAATTTCATTAAAAGCTTTTTTATTTTGGACTTTTTTACTTTATGATTACTACCAGGTCGTTTAGTGTATCCATTTTGTATTATTTTCGTTTCGTATATATAAAACAGTGATATTAGTATCCTTTAGTACATCAAATTTTTTTTTTTGTTTCAACCGTTTTGCCGTATCTGCTAAAATAAAATGATAAAAAGTCCCAGCACACAATAATACTAACATGAATTTGACAGTAGATGTTGGGGGCGTTCTTACAGCATAATAAACATTGGCCCCTTTTTTCACAAATTTTAATTGAAATCTAGTATCTAGTATCTAAAGTATTCCTCGTTAGAATAGAAAACATTGTTGGCCAAAATTTGTTTCATTTTCTATTTAAACGCCGAAACTTTTTAATCGCTATAGGTGAAATATTAAAAAAAAAGGTTTCAAAGAAACTTGCACAGGCTACTGTTATACTATTTATAAATCTTCAGGATCCTCCTGTGTCGGTTGGATAAATCAAAGTTGCTGACGTTTTGCCAATCATCTTGTTGATTTCTTCAGAGCTTTACTGAAACTGGGTCGCATTCTACTCTGTATGTGCCTGCTTAGATATTGTTGAGGGGGGCGGAGCTATAGGAGGATGGATGGATGGAGGATGATTCGCATATTGGTGAAACGGAAAGACTTGAGGCGCATTTAAGATTATTTGGTTGCTTAGAGTTTTTTATAGATTCTTGGATTTTTGGTTGAATTGATTACATGCAAGAATTTTAGTTTTATCGAATAAAATTTTATGGCCGGTTTCGTGATTGTGTTCGGCAACTGCTCTTTCATGTCCTTTGTTGTTAATTATTTTTCATCCAGTCTCTTCAACAAATTCTTTGCCGCCTATGCATGGAATGCTGTAAACTCCTAGTATCTCAAACGGAATTTTGTCTTTATTGTTGAGATGTTGAGAGATTTTTAGACAAGTAGTAAAGCTGGTTTTGACATTACATTTCTTTAGACCCTTTTATATGTGGTCCGTAATTGTTGAATGTATGGAAGTACCAGGTGTGGGATTGCTTTGGAAGGTTGTGGTGAAGTGTATTTTGGGATGAAACACTTAATACCTTTAATGCGGAAATTATTAGAGAGTAGAGCACAAGTGAGGTGTTTTAATTCTGGGTTCAGTGACTCGGGTTGAGATAGTTTTACTGCTCTGTAAACAAGAGAGTTGATAACCGATGACTCTTGGGTCAGATGGTTATGTGAAATTGCATTAAGGTCTATGTGAGTAGGTTTTCGGCAAATAGAATGACACAATGTTTGTCTGATTTTTTGTATAGATAAGAATGTCTAAGAATGGGAAACTATTATTAGTATTCTCTACCATGAGGTAAAATAACAAAGGTATTATCAACGAAGCGTTTCTATAATTTTGGTTTTAGATGGAAGGCTTCCATAAATATATTGGCTATGACTGGTGACAAACGAGAACCCACAGCTGTTCCCGACTTTTGTTCAAAAAATTTAACGTTGGAATGGTGATCTGTGATCAAATCGTAATATACAGGGGTTTGTTTTCTTTTGAAAAGAATTAGAAAACTGATGATGCGCGAACTATGGCAACGCCGTAAGATATTTTTATTTAAAAATGCAAGTTTGGCACCATAAATAAACGACATGAGTATCTTTTTTATACGCAAAGAGAATTTGGAACAAGATTAAAATACCTTATATAAATCAGTTTAGATATTGGGCTTATAACGAAAATAAACGTCAATAATTCCGAAAAGTTGTTTTTAAACTCCATAGCGTTCTATCGTTGAACCCTACTTTTTATTTAAATCAGTCTTAATATACAGGGTGTTCTATTTGTAGTATACAGATAGATTATTTGTGAACAGCACTGTAGACACGATGCAATTTCTACAGATATTTTTTCATGTAAATGTTGTAACGTGCCTACCACCAAATTGCAAGAAATTTGGCAGGTAAAATTACCACGGATTTTGTCCCAAATTTGTGCGGGTCAATCGACGCAAAGAGTTTGTTTTCATAAAACACGAAAGATGACTCTTAAAAGTATTTTAACAAATAACATGGTCGGTGGCACATTGTAAAATCTGAAGTCGTCAGCTGTAAAGTTAAGACATATATTATACTTTTTAATACAGCACGAAATATCTCGAATACCCTGTACAATATGTGAAAACGTCAAATACATGAATTTATCCAATTTTTTGTAAAAGAATAATCCGTTTTTTAGTTATTTACCACCCTGTACATTTAAAAAATGTATTATTCCTAATGACTTTTAGATTTGGATCTCATGCGTTTTCTCGTACAAGAATTTTTTTCATGTTAGTAACCGTTTTTGAGAAAAATATATTTCTTTATATTTCAAAATAGTTCCTGACCCCCCCAGCCCCGCCAGTTTAATAGGTTCTGTTTCGGTCATACGTGCACCAAATGTGAAGTCGATAGCTTTAAATTTCGGATACTTATCGTGTTTCATAGTGACAAAACGCAAAACAGTGGAAAATCTTAAAATAAAAAAAAAGGGCGCCACTGCCTTGTCGCCGCCATTTCATAAAGGCTAATGTTTCCCGTGGGCTATTTAAAAAGAGCCGAATTTCAGCTTCCTAGCTCAAGCCGTTTGGAAGTTATTCTCATTTTTATGGAGCGTCGACAGAGAACTGAGAACAGACAAAAACGTTTTTTTTTCGACGCTTTCCGAGATATGAGTTTCGTGGCCAAGCGCGTACACTTTCGAAAATTTAGATTTCAACGATTTATATACAAAAAAACTGTATTTCAATATGTCATGTAAATTATCCCTAAGATTAAGTACAGAGTTTTAGAGAATATATAATTAATATATATTGTATTTTATTCAGTACTTCATATACATCCACAAGCTATTATTTGCGTGGGTGTATAAGTAGCTTATACTAAAAAGTGTTGTTGATTGTATCAAAAGTTAAACACGACCATTAAATACAAAATTCTATCATAACAATCAAGCCCATACTTTTTTGTTGAGTCTAACGTTTCAGTCAAGCTCTGAAGAAGCCAACAGGATGATTGACGAAACGTTAACTAGTTCGACTCAACAAAAACCGACACAGGAGGAAGCCAGAAGTTTTATGCAAAGTATAACAGTAGCCATTGGAAGTTTCTTTGAAAAATTAATTCAGCTCATTTTTCTCGAAAAAATGCATTGTGCCTATTATCAAAAAATTGTCAGTAAAAATTACTGCAATTTTTATCTGCTAAAAGGCTTGAGGGACAAAACAGTGCTATGTCTATGAAGTATTTTTGTATACCATGACATGAATAAAGTAATTGATTGATATTTTGGCTGGAGAGTTAGTCGAAGTTTTTAAGCGCACACTGTTTCTTTTATTTGTAGGCGACTAGGAAACTGACGAGGTCAGCGAGCACTAGAAAATCGAAGCATGTAGTGGGAAAAACTGTATATTCGGACACAGATTCGGACACAGAAAGTACCAAGCGGTCTTTGAGTCGGTCGCCAGTGAAACGCGCCCCCGTGGCGACCAAAGGCAAAGCGAAAAACAACAAAAGAACGGACGCCAAGTCGAGACCTAACGAGATCGCCATTGTGGAGCGTCTGTGTCCCCTCGAGCGATGCGATAGCTCGGGTCACCTGAGCGGCAAGTTCGACAAACACTTCACATTGGAAGCGTGTCCCGCGTACCACAACCTGACCATTACCCAGTGCAGGAACGAGCTTGGAGAGCGAAAAAAACGAGAAGAAATACGAAATAAGGCGGTCGAGCAGCACCGAAACTCACCCAAACCGATCACTCAAGAACAGAAGCAGTATTTGGCGAAGGTGAAAGATCTGCGCAGCAAGTTCAAAATCGAACCAATGGAGGACATAAAACCGAACGTGGACAAGAGCAAAGAACCGGATCTATCCAATTTCGTGCCTGAATACGACTTGAAGTTGTTTAGGGATGCGCAGGCCTTGGCCAGCGAGAGGATCGAGGAGGAGTTGAAGAGTTTGCCCAGCACTAAGGGTCAGTGGTCTTTGAACCTTGTATCTGATCAGTTAGTAACAAAATCATCCTATTGGTTCTTCAGATTCTTAGGATTGTTTTATCAAATAAGATTTGATATTGATTTGATATTTGTTGTCCTGTCTTTCCAATGTATTCTTGGCCGCATATTAATACAATTTTAAAATTCCAGGTATCCCAAATGGAATTTTATCTTTGACAAATCGAAAATGTAGAAAGATTTTTAGACAAGTAGTAAATCTAGTTTTGACATTATATTTCTTTAGAAGCTTTGACATGTAGTCGGTGATGTGGTGAATGTAAGGAAGGACAATAGTGGCAAGTGTGAGGTTGCTTTCCGAGATTGAAAGGTTGTGGTGAAGTATATTGTGTAATAGATTACTTAATATCCCTAATGTGGAAATTATTAGAGGAAAGAGTAGATGTAGTAAGATATTTTAATTCTGGGATCAGTGAGACAGTTTTACGGCTCTGTAAACAAGATAGTTGTAAACAGAATGACCCAGTGTTAGGTCTGATTTTCTATTAATAAGAATGTCAGTCGTCCAAAAACTGATGAGAATGTAAGATAAAACATTTTATTTGAAGTTGAGGGTAATTTCCATTTTGTATCTTCTGAAGTAGCTTCAAGTAATAGTGTTAGCTAAGGAACAGTTTTGCATGTATTAAAAGAAGAAAGGTATTTTCTTTATACAAGATTACATTACTACAGGAGCTGAACAAAAATAATCCCGACTCCATACTATAGTTTTGTGAAACTATGATAGAAATATACAAGTGAAATCCATATTTACAAAGTCAGATACTGTTTAGCCACATTTTGTTTTGTGAATAAACAAAATTGTAATTATTGGAGCACTAATAATCACCAATAAATGAGAGAAAATTATACAGAACATCCATAAAAATTAATGTTTGACCAGGAATTTTGAATAACAAAATTATAGGAACTTATTTCTTTAAGCAAGATTTTACAGGAGCTTGATATTTACCATTTCTTCAAAATTACTTAATTTCTTGCAGTTTTAACAGGATGGTGCTCCGCCCAATTTTGCTCGACAATTGCATGAGTATTTAAATACGGTATTTCCCGAACAGTGGATTGACTAAAAGGGGATCAATAGAATAAATGATATGGAGAGCGACGTTTTAATGTTGCGTTGTGGCATTCTCTGCGACCGCAGATTTCTTAACTTCCACATTTTAACTTAATAATGATTTTTATCTGAAAGGCTTCTGCTTGATTTCGATGTACTTCTAATTAAAATTTAGGCAATCCCAAATGCACTTTTTTACATGTTCTAGGAACCAAATACATAGAGATGGGCAAGTACGAGATGGAGGTGTGGTACCAGAGCCCTTATCCAGAGGACTATGCTCGGTTGCCAAAGCTTTATATCTGCGAATACTGTTTGAGGTACATGAAGTCTAGGACGATATTAGAAAGGCACGTGATCAAGTGCGTTTGGCGGCACCCTCCCGGGGAGGAAGTGTACAGAAAGGATAAGATCAGCGTGTGGGAGGTGAAACTGTTGAAATATTTTACTATTCGCTACTTTCTGCTATATTTCAAATATTTTAGGTGGATGGCAAACGGTACAAACAGTATTGTCAAAACTTGTGTCTGTTAGCTAAGTTCTTCCTGGATCATAAGACATTGTACTACGACGTGGAACCATTCCTCTTCTATGTAATGACTTTGGTGGATAATGAGGGATGTCACACTGTCGGATACTTCAGTAAGGTAATAATTACATCTTTGATTGCTAACTAAATCATGTAATGCTTTATTAGTTCCTGTAGTTTTTCATTTTTATTTATCTAGATATTTTTGCTACTCCATTTTTTTTTGTTTTACAACATTTCAGCACTTTAGTTGCTTCATTGTGGATTGGAATTTTCAGTTATCCTCCGTTATTAAGCCAATTTTTTGACAGAATAATGAACTAAGGGCTGTTTGTCTAGTCTGTAATGCTCACGGCAAAGAAGACCAATGATATTTAGATACTTTTTGATTGCTTTCTTTATTCGAGAATTTATCACACAAAATTCAAATAATATCTAACTTAATTTTTTTATTTTAATTTAATTAATTTTGGTTAGTTCAATGGTTAGTTAAATAATAATAATAATAAAATTTTAACTTAAATATTAGGGTATTAATAAAAAATGAAAATCTAAAAAAAAAATATTAACTTTTGTTAAAATTAATAAATTACTTCCATATTTGGAGAATATCTCCACTTAGAATTATGATTTTTCTCCTGAAAAAAAAAACTTTCACACTCTGTATCCCGTTAATAAGCAACATTTTTGTAAAGCAAGACACATCCTGTATAAAGAATGATTATTAGCTTTTTGGTCCCGCAAAAGTCGAAAATGGGATACCCTGTATGTTATAAATTTCGTTTACTGTCAACTGACCAAGAACCTGCTTGTATTATTTTATTTTATTTTTCATTAAAATCTAAAATAAGGTTGAACAAGGCAAGGTTATGCTTTGCACGAACTAAACTTTTAATTTATCGACGTTTTGTTGGGTTGCGTCAAGTTTCGCGCCCAATATGCAAACTAAAAGTTACTGAAATAGAAACACTGGTTTCTACTCATTGCATGCTGTATATATGTCCAAATGATTTGAGTATTTGAAATTTTGAGAAGGAGTCACTAGAAAATGGAAAGCTTTGTTGGCCACGATTCAAGGCAAGGCGTTATTTGACTATAGTCCAATGTTGTTAGTTGTGTAGAACTTATCAAGATTTGGTTAATTCTAGTTACTTTATGTTATTCTGTTGTCGAGTTCATAGAGAGAAGTGGAGAGAGCATATATTTATAATATTATTTAAAAATACCTACATGGGAGACAGGGAGCGAGAAGGTTCAACCCTGCAACACTGACTACAGTCAAACGTTTACCGCCGTCTGATTCAAGTTTATTTGGTCCAGACGATAAAAGAGGATAGTTGAGTTAGTGAATTATTCCTCACAGTTTAAGCGCAAGCAGTGATGTCATCTATCCCTGTCAGAAACTGTCGATGTTGTCGGTGTTTAAAAAGAATGCTGCAACATTTAAGGAGGTGATTCCTCAAATCAGTTAATGAAAAAAATTCCCTTAAATGTGGGTACTGAAATACATTATTACCTAGATATAGGGTTTAAATTTTTTTTTTATCACGTTTTTTAAAATAATTCAAATATATCCTCGCGGATCTGTTAATTTGGAAGCTTTGTTTCTAGTGATAAGGGGCGGATTTGGCTATAACTAATCAAAAATTAAACAGTAGCGTTGAGGGGCTGGGGGCAACTTTATAAAATTAATTGATAAAAATGTACGCCACTGATTTAATTTCAATAGTTCCCTGAGATGGAGCGACTAAAACCACTACTTTTTCGTCTCTTAAAATCTCTTACTTTGTTTAGGAAATAAAAATATAACCTTTTTATTTTGCGTGTCAGTTTGTCATGAAAATATTTTACAACATTCCAATCATATTTGCGAACAAGTCCACCAAAAATAACTTAATATTTACCATACAAATACTGTTGAAAGTGACCACCTTCAGGTCCAAATAAGCACTTATTATTCCGATCTAAATATTCAATGAGAGCTGATGTTGAATATTGCATGTGGATTTTTATCACACAATAAATGGATATTTCAACAAAAACCGGGCTTCCAAGACCAATGAAATCTTGGTTGATACAGAGGTGTTCAAATAAATCCAAGTCAATAACCAACTAGGCCCGGAAGACCAAAAAATAATCTTTGTTATCGATAACTCCATGGTTTCCATGTTAAGAAGACGTTCCACTATAATTAATTACAAGAAAGTTAATTCCAAAATTAATAACGTGCCCTTCTTATCAAAACGTTTTGAGGTCCAAGAAAAAGTACTGCCCCAGAGAAGAATACATTAACATTACCGAATCATCTGCAGAGGTAACGTTACGGATCTTCCTAGATCACATTTCAAGCATAATATGTAATACATGCATTACAAAAAGAAGATGACCAGTACATGAAGTTAATGTAAAGGATGTATCATATCGGAGAACGATCAGAAGGAGCTGCTGAGACAAAAAGTAAAGAGCATCAATTATTTCAACTAAATTATATTCAAAAAATGATCCAATAAGAGACTTATTTTCACCAAAAAAAAAAGTTTTCCTAAGGCATATCCAGATTTAATATTTGTTGTTGTTTGTGTTATCTGTTTGTGTCTGTCTAATATTTTGCCTCTTTTTTAATATTGTTATAAATAACCAAAAAAAATAAAATTGCACTATAAATTTTGTAGTATTGTTCAATTAAATAGTAAAAAGAAACCAATATTAAAACCAATTCCATTCTGGACAACACTATTAACAAATTTTGTAGTATTTATTAAAAAAAAAAAAATGCATATAATTAAAATAGTTGATTTTTGTCACCGTTTAGCATCGCACCACTGTGCATCGCATACACTTCCTTGCGAATCCACTTTGCATCACCATTCATAGACACTTTCATTATCCCTTTATGACATCACTTTTCTAGTGACGGATTCCACGCCAGGTTGACCTTGGAATGCCTGTTAATTCCACTGCCAATGGTAGCTTGCATGCCTTCTGACGTTTGACTTTTCAAACATTTTTTTACATTTTAAACACTTAGGTCCGATGGTCCGATGATACAGATAAAAGTGTTTATATAAATTTTAATTTTCCATCTTTTCGTTCATAAAATTATTAATTTATGTAGGCCTTCTTAGATGACTGCTAACAGTTGGCCAATAGTGTACTATGTATTTTTAAAACATCGTCAAAACGAACCTGATTCTTACCGGGTGATGCATTGCCGAACGGAACATAGGAAATCCCATGTAAATTTTTAGGTGTCCAAATGTTGGCTCCTCTGTACATTTTATGTAAAGTTGTTATAAAACTTTTTGAAGGGGCCGGTATGATTAATTCATGTACCGATTTTGAACAAATTTTGGATAATAAATCAAATTCGTGACAGTAACAATATTTTTCATTTGTGATTGTTATACGTTATTAAATTCCCTTTAATTAAAAATTAACCGTAATTAAGCGGTATTATGCAGGAAACAGTCTTAGATCAGTGTTTGAATGTTTTCAATTTATTTTCCTGCTAAAACGATACCTTCGATTTCATAATTTGAACAATTTGAGTCCGAAGGCACCGTAATAAATATCTGCAAATGTTGAGTTGAGAACATCGATAACAGAGCATAAGATAGAGACCATAAAGATTTGAACATGTGCATGTGCAGGAAAACAAAATGATTAGTATAGTCTGTCTCAATATTCATCGTGTTGGCTTTCGGTTGGCACCGTAATAAATATCTGCAAATGTTGAGTTGAGAACATCGATAACAGAGCAAAAGATAGAGACCATAAAGATTTGAACATGTGCATGTGCAGGAAAACAAAATGATTAGTATAGTCTGTCTCAATATTCATCGTGTTGGCTTTCGACGGACCTTCTCCAATAAAACTTTAATGATTACGAATTATCTATTGTTATTTTGAAAAGCCATTAACAAAAAAAAAATTCTTACTTGAGTGACAAGGCAGTGATGAATAATCGTTTTTACTGTGCATTTTGAAAAACTTTCAACAAGCTTTAAAAGAAACCTGTCTACTATTACTATATTGTTAATAGTAGAGAATTGAATGAAAGGAATAAACATAGTGATATTCAAACTCACCGTACAGACAATAGTGATCAGGACCTAATAAGAAGGAAATTATATTGTCTTTATCAAAGCGAAGTTGTTCCTACTTTGGATAGACTAAAAAGAAGCTGGAAGAAGATGAAACCAATCGAAGCCGTGCCACGCTCCATAGAGTGGTTTGTAATATGGGATTTAAGTACAGCAAAACAGGCAAAGGCGGCTAGTAATGGGATCACACACGCACTTGGATATTTAATTACCTTCAAGAAATTAAAAGATATAGATTAGACAACAGATCCATAATTTACCTTGATGGTTCGATAAATACGACACTGTATCCAAAGGATGGGTTAATTTTATTAAAAAATGGTTAGAGGAAAACGTATCACTATAATACACGCTGGGTCAGAGAACAGATTTGTCCCAAACTTCTTGCTGTTGTCTGCAAAGAATATTAGGGATTCCAGCTTGGACTATCACGAGGATACAAGTCGCGAACTTTTTGGAAATTTATTCCAAAACAATCTTTAAAAAAATATTCCCAATAACAGTGTTATTGTAATGGATAACGCAAGGTACCACAGCCGTCTGCTACGCAAAGCACCAGCCTTATCAAGTTCAAACACTGAAATCCAGGAATATTTGTGAAAATTGATATACAAAAAACAGTATGTATGTGAAAATTTGGCTGAACATGCTGGGCATACTGTTGTACATGTTCTTTATCATTGCATGTTTAACCCCATAGATCATTTTTGGAACAAAGTAAAATCAAAAGTAAGAGCAGAAAATGTTACTCCTACTTTATTATAAATTTGATAAAAATTGGGAGCTGGAAATATTCAGTACAGCACAAGATAAAAATTGAGGCAAATCTATACAAATCTACATGAATCCTATTATAATTAATCTCAATGGCGACTCTGATAGTGAAACAGAATTAAATTTAGACATTTAGAATAAAAATTTAATTATGTATATGTATGTATTACTAGGTATGAATTTATTGTAATTGTTTAATTTCATTGTTTTTTTTTAGTTAAATCAGTGAAATTATACCCAT